AAATTGCACTTACCCCTTAAATCAGCTGCCTGAGCCTGGAGGATTTGTAGATTCTTCATCATAGTATCCGTAATACTGTCAGGATCCGCCACTGAACGAAGTCGTCGGTTGATCTTAATCGCTAATTTAAATCCATCAATTTCTTTTTCCACTTCCGATATTTTTTCCCGGTAATAATCCATATGCGTGTCATCGATTTGAGTTTGTTGGGGAAGCCCAACGCAGCTCTCACTTGTAGAAGGCATCTCTGGTGGAACGCTAACGTCCATCCGTGCGCCATTTACTTTGGAAGATCGGTATTTGTGACCTATGATTATTAAAGAGACCTTGTCAAGACTGACTGTGCTGAATGATTTTTTTTAAAATTGCTTTTAGATTTTCGCGTCTCGGATGTTTCTGGCTTGACAAACTGCCCACTCGCGATATCATGGCAAGATACATATTACTTTTCTTGTTTTTCAAAGATTATTTTTAAGTTACACTCTGTTTTTATTTATTTACGTCTTTCGTTGCACCAATCTGGTTTCTTGGATTTTGCATGATTTATTTCGAATTGAATGCGTGATGAATTTTCACGTATTTTATTTTATTTATTTATTTATTTATTTTTCATTTATATATGAAGAAAATAAATAATATGTAAAAGATTAAATTAGTGGCGTAAATTAATTTTAATTTCCCTTCTCTATTCTAAAAATAGTAATCTCTATTTGCACTGCGTCATTTCGAGAAAAATCTATGTCACATGATTCTTATGTAATTCTAGTGATGTAAATTGAACTAAAACTCAAGCAGCCAATAACAATTTTACAGCAATATTAACTATCCAATTAAAATGTATTGAGAACCAAAACTAACTCAGTTTGACTTTAAGATTTCATCCTGAACATAACGCACTTGCTTTCCGCGCTTTGGCATAGCTAGACTGCTGTCTGTCTGCTGCTGCTTACTTGCTACAAAGTTATCGAAAATGTAAGCCTTTTGGAACAGTCACATTTAATGTGCCGACTTGTGTGTAACCGCAACACGTTGCTAAAAATAAAACTGAACATTTAATCTGCCTTCGCCTCCAATTTCTTAGTCATTATGGATCAAAACTTCTAAGCCATCCAAATTTCTGCTCCTGAATATATTACATATATGTGTGTGTGTGTGTGATATAACAAAATACCATAGCTGCTCTAAGAAACGATTAGCGACCACAAAATTAACTATTCTAAATTGCGTGTTCTTCTCCTAAATTCATCTGTCCTCCCAAATTCGAGATCTTTGCACGTTACATAAAAACATAAACATAAGCAATAGAGTTTAGCTATACTTATGCACCTACTTAGTATAAATACTGCTTTGTAATCAACTACGTCATTCTTTTTCTTAACTTCTAGACCTTTTCTAACATCTTCACGCTGCTTTGCTTTCTTGTCTAAAATGCTTACGTCATACTTTTAAAACAAGTGTACATAAAAATTATCATATTTACCCTATGATTGGATAAACGTCACCAAGATGATTCGATATTTCTGAAAATAAAGACTGGTGATTCTTTAAACTCCAGTTTTGTTATTTTCGTCATCCTGCCTTTCACCCTCAGATACTACGACTGTCGAATGCTAAAAGTACCAGTGTCTTCTACGCAGTTAAAATACTATATATACACTCAAGAGCGAAAACATTATGACCACCTGCCAATAACGAGTTGGGCCACCTTTGGCGCGCAACACAGCTTCAACCCGCCTTGGCATGGATGACACAAGTCCTTGATAGGTGGCCGGAGACAGATTGTACCAGATGTTGTAGCAACGGTCACGCAAATCCGAGATATTGCGAATTGGTGGTCTTTGACCTCTGAGACTGTCCCATGACATCCCAAATGTGTTCTATCGGATTGAGATCCGGTGAGTTAGGCGGCCAGGACATTAACTGGAAATCAGCATCATGTTCCTGGAACCACTCCAACACAATTATACCTTGTGACACGGGACATTGTCCTGTTGGAACATTCCATTTCCAGCTGGAAAAACAGAGGCCATGTAAGAGTGCAACTGGTCTGCAATGATGTTCAGATACCCTGTAGCATTCATGGTCTGCTCTACCACAACCATGTGTCCCAGAGACGCCCAAGAGAACGTCCCCCAGAGCATAATACCGCCACCACCGGCCTGTGTATGTGTGATATCTTCGTTCTAAAGTGTTGAGTCATTTAATTCACAGTAGTTGTCTTTTGATTACGTATTGAAAACAATAGCAACATAATTGAAACAAATATGAAATATCATACGCGGCACAGTGCCGGATCTATACATGTTAGCACATCCTCGTTCTTGCGTGTTCTAACAATATTTTCCCCTCGCCGCGGGAAAAGCAAACTTCAGTTTATCCCTTTAGGGAATTTTAGTTGGAACAGTTCAAAATCTTACAATAAAATAGTACATCTTATAGTTTTACAAAACTTTTAATATGTTCTTTAACATGACCAGCCTGGTGCGGTAAGGATGTTAAGCGTTTTCCAGTTAGGAAGTTAGCAGGAGTGAGAGGGAATGGCTCTGATGGATCATTGTAAACGTAAGTAAGTAGTCTAAGAATTTAGAATAGATTCTATTTCTGTCAAAATGGTTTGTAATTCTTCAAAGGAAACTGAAGCCTTTCCTAGCACTTTTCTCAAAATACCTTTAGTCATCTTCACTATTCTCTCCCAGTATCCACCCCACCAAGCTGCTCTTTCGACAATAAATTGCCATCTTATTCCTTTTGTACCAAAATAATTTTGTACAGATGGATCAACAATATTTGCATATAACTTCTTCAGTTCTACATCTGCACCTTTAAATGTTTTGGCATTGTCAGAGTTTATAGTTCGACAAACACCTCTTCTTGACACAAAGCGACGAAATGCTAGAAGGAAATGTTCAGTGATTAGGCTAGAAACAATTTCAAGATGAACTGCACGTGTGACTGCACAAGTAAACAAACAAATATAAACCTTGTCTCCATTTTTCGTAAACAAAGGTCCAGCAAAATCAACAACTGTGATTTCAAAGGGATTCGCTTCATGAATTCTATCCGCTGGTAATGGAGCAGTCACTTGAGTGCCCCTTTTAGCCTTAAATTTCCTGCAAACGAAAGTTATTCAAGCACGATTTTACAGCTTGTCTGCCTCGGATGATACAATACTTTTCTCGAGTTTGAGTATCTGAAACATCAGCATGAAGCAAGTTCTCATGTTCTCTTTTGATTAGCAATTCAGTAAATCTCGATTTTTTTCGGTATAATCCATGGATGCTTTTCTTGAAACTAAAAATCAGAATGTTGTAATCTACCACCAAGACATACGAGTCCTTCTGCTGTCAGGATCGGGTTTAGACCATATAATTTGGAATCGGAACTAAGTGTTTCCTTTCGTGTCAATTTAATAAGATCCTTTTTAAACTCACTTCGCTGTATAAATCGAATCCAATTGCGTTCAGCACTTGCGAGTTCTTCAGCAGTTAGCGCTTCTTTATACCTTTCAGAATTTCGCTTACAGTTATTAATAAACCGTAGGACGTATGCAGTGATTCGAAGAACCTTAGATAAGTCACTGTATCTGTGCAAATTCAACAAGCTATCGGTAAGTTCAACGTATGTTGGTAAAACAATACAGTTCTTTTTTCTCTCCTTTTCCGCTTCAAATGTATCAATATCACTATTCGGTATTTCTTTACTGTTTAGAGCATCACTTTCTAGTAGCCACAAGGGGCCTCTCCACCATGTTTCATCATTAATTAAAGATCGTGCACTTACTCCCCTATTAAGTTTATCTGCAGGATTCAGCTTTCCGTTGCAAAAATTCCAAATCGATGGATTTGTCTTTTCTTTGATTTCCAACACTATATTGCGGACAAATTGCTTCCAATCATTTGCAACACCTCTAATCCAATGTAGACATATTGTGGAATCTGTCCACATGAAAATGTCACTTTCTTTCAGAGACGAAAACGTATATCGTATATAATCAGACAACCGTGCGGAAATCAAGTTTTCTAGTAGTTCTAATCGCGGAAAAGTCATTTTCTTCAGTGGAGCTAGACGACATTTTGAAATTATAAAACTTATCGCACATTTGTCATGGTATTTAATCTTGAAATATGCGACCGCACCATATGCCTTTGGGCTTGCATCAGAGAATATATGTACTTCGAGCTGCTGAATCTCCAGCTCGTCAAAATATGGTCGAGGTATGACAAGCCTGTCAAGCTCGGTTACTTCATTCCACCATTCCTGGAACATAGACTCCAATTCTGCTGGAATATTTTCATCCCATTTTAAGCCCTTTTCCCAAAGATTTTGCACTATCAATTTAATTCTAACACTGAATGGTGTAATCAAACCTAATGGATCAAACAACATGCCACATGCACTTAGAATTATGCGTTTTGTTGGTATCACATATTTAAATTTTGTAAATTGATTCAGATCTATCTTCAAGATGTCCTTATCATTGTCCCAAATCAATCCTAATACCTTTAACGGTATATCTCTTTGATTCGATGGCGTCCGACATTCCATTTGGGTTTCACTCCTTCTTTGATTAAGGATAGCTGAATTCGAAGACCACTGCCGTAAATTCATGTTTGCTTTACTAAGTATAAATTTACAGTCTCTTGCAAGGGATACTGGTTCTTCAACAGTTGATGCCCAAATTATTAAGTCATCAACATAAAGTTCTTTCAAAATAGAACATGCTTCACTGTGTGAATTTGCATATTTCTTTAAATGAAGTCGTATAGTTGCTGTCAAAATAAAAGGGCAGCATTTCACACCAAAAGGAACACGTGTCATTCGTAAAATTCTGATATTACGACCATTGAAATCAAGTTCGTTCCCCCCTTATTTCTCCATAAAAACTGCAAAAACTTTCGATCCTCCTCTGCTATGGCAATCTCTAAAAATGCTCTCTGAATATCAGCACAAAACGCAATTGGGGATAACGAAATCTTAAAATAATCCTGAGCAAATCTGGATTAAGGTTGGGACCTATCTAAACAATCATTCAACGACTGCCCATCTCTAACTTTCGACGACGCATCATACACAATCCTAACTTTCGTACTTTCCTTTGATTCGCGTACTACAGCATGATGAGGCATAAAATAACCGATTTTTTTATCACAATCTCCATGAAATGCAACTTGCTCAATAATACCATCCCTTAACTGCTCATTAATTATTTCTTTATAACGAAAATACAGATGCAGATCATGCCTAAATTTATTATTTAAGCTTATCAAACGTCTTTCTGCAACTTCATAATTACTATTCAATGTGTTACAACCCTCCTTCCATAATAATTTAGTTTCATACATCCCATTTTTAAACGTGGTATTTCTTTCAAACATATCTATGACATCTGCATCTGATCGCGAAATTTCCTTTTCCTGATTTACTCCTATAGCCTCCAAATCCCATAAATTCCGAACTCTTTCAAAATCTGTTTCTTACTTCACAGAGATATGATTTACACAAGTCTTATCATTATTTCCATGATTATCCGATCCCATTTCCTTACCTTGGATTACAAACCCAAATAAACTGTCAGTATTAACTAACCGTTTCCCTAACCGTATGTTTCTTTCATATAAAATTTCCCAAATGTAATCTGAGCCGATCAACATGTGTATCTCCTTCGTATTTCCAATGTCGGCCAATTCTATTCCCTTACTTAGAGCCATATTTCTGACCCACTTTGAAGGAACTTCTATGTGGTCACGCGTAATCGCATCAATTACCACTGCTTCTATGCGGAGTTTTTTACTTGGGTTGGTTCTATTCAAACGTTTCACATCTGGTAGCCTTCAATCCTAATGAGTTCGCAGTTTTCCTTCTGATAAACGTTCTGTTACTCCCGCCGTCTATTAACACCCTCAAAATTTCGGTCTTTTTATTTGTTTTTACTATAGCGATGAATGTTTGTAGTAAAACCGGGGATGACGCTTCGGCGGTCTCGGTTTTGTTTACAGATTCTCTTTTACTTCCTCCGAAGCAATGCAATGACTGTACCGCAGATAAATTATTGCCCGTTTCTTTACTATTTGATTCGGCCGCATTATTTGTCGGTTCAGCCTTATCGCATATTCAATAATTGTGGTGAGGTTTTTTACATAATTTGCAGAGCTGGTCCTTTTTCCAGCAAAATTTTGAGGTATGTCTACGTTTCAGACAAATGTAACATCGCCCTTGTGATTTTAACGAATTTCTTTTTCTCATTAATGGTAAAGGACTTTATGTGTTTCGTGAGATTTATCCGAACAAAAACTACACATTTCATTCGCTACGGCTGTTAAAGCAGCTGCTGTTGGAATGAACGCTTTTGAAATGTTTCGATTTGAGTCTACATAATTTTTCTGATAATTTTGTCTCGTTCATCTATTACTAAAGGGAATTTCATTTCGCTTAAAGTTTTTTGAATCTGATAATAAAAAAGACGATTCTCTTATTTCTACCTCTTTTCTCAAAAACTCAACTAAGTGCTCTATATCAAATGATTCATGCGATTCGCGTTGTCTATTGTAATACAAATTTAGCTCTTCTGGAATTTTCTGTAGTATTACCGGGCAAAGTAAACTACTATAAGTTCCTGCTGCAATACCTAAAGACTTTAATGATCGAATTTGAATCTCAATCGTATCATGCATTCTTCGCAATGCTGGAACGTTCGCGCATGTCTTAACGGAATCAATCAGTAACAGTTTATACATGTGCGAGCTTATAATCAAATCTAGCCTTCCGAATCTTTCTTTTAACAACTTAATTGAGGAATCATAACTTTCGTTTGTTAACGAAAATCCCGAAACTGCTGATAAGGCAGTACCTCCCAAAAATGTTTTCAGATACGAAAACTTCTCAACCTTACTTAAGGAATTGTTATTATGGATAGCTACTTCGTAGGAATTCCAGAAATCCAACCAAGAGCTACAATCACCATAAAATTTCTCAATACTTAATTTCGAAAGCTTAACTACACTACTTTCGTTTCTTACTACGCCTTGTTCCAACCTAACATTTTCATTAACCCGAATTTCATTTTGCGAAGCCTCGTTAAAAGCATTTTCTATATGCCTATCTAGTTTCGTTTTCCATTGAATATCGCGTTCCTGATATTCTTCACTCTCAGCAATTTCGTTTCTATTTCATCTCGCTCATCTATACCAATTATCGTTTCTATTTCACTATCTAAACCCTTAAGATTCTTTATCTTTTCAATCAACTGGTTTCTTTGATAATCAAGTTTTTGTTCTTTACTGTAAATTTCACTTAAAGGTTTATTTATTGCGTCTTCAGTTTTTGCCAAAAGATTACAAAAAAGCTGCCTAATGCAGTTGCGTTTCTGCCTTAACCTTTCAACTCGTTTCACCATGGTTGCATAAACTACTTCTGTTTTCAAAACTAAATTTCAAATCAATTTACAACAACGAAATAATAAAATCACCACTATAAATTCAAAACTTCCTATCACATACAAAATCATAACACTTCAAGAACTGAATCTAAAGGGACCTACCTCAATTCCATGGTCGCGAATCAGAAGCTTCCAAAACAAAGAAAGGTTCACATTCCATCAAAAGATTCGCAGTAATTCCAATCACATCCGGGTTACCAACAAATTTGTGATAACTTCGTTCTGAAGTGTTGAGTCATTTAATTCACAGTAGTTGTCTTTTGATTATTTATTGAAAACAATAACAACATAATTGAAACAAATATGAAATATCATACGCGCACAGTGCCGGATCTATTGTTAGCAATCCTCGTTCCTGCGTGTTCTAACAATATTTTCCCCTCGCCGTGGGAAAAGCAAACTTTAATTTATCCCTTTAGGGAATTTGAGTTGGAACAGTATGACCTACTGTGCATTGAGGGAGCAACTGTTCGCCTGAAAGACGGCGTATCCTGACACGGCCATCGGCTTTATGAATGACAAACCGTGATTTATCTGACCAGGCAACTCTCTCCCACTGATCCATGGACCAGTCGCGATGTTCCCGGGCCCAGCGCAGGCGCAGTTGGCGATGACGCTTGGTCAGCAAAGGCACACGAGTGGGACGTTTGCTGCGTAGCCCCATATCCAACAGTGTCCGCTGAACAGTGTGCTCCGATACTTTTCTACTTGGCCCTGCATTGTATTCGGCTGTCAGCTGAGCCACTGTCTGGCTCCGGTTTTGCTTCACCATGCGAGACAGTCTCCGACGACCTTTTTCTTTGATAGCGTGTGGACGTCCAACACCATGTCGTCTACTGCTGGTTTCACCGTCATTCATCCACTTTTCATACGTACTAACAACTGTAGATCGCGAACAACCCACGAGTCGTGCAGTTTCGGAAATACTTGTTCCGAGCCTTCGAGCCATTACAATCTGCTTCTATCAAAGTCGCTTAGATCCGCAGCCTTTCCCATCACACACAGAAGTAAGTGAAAGAATGATTCTTCAGACTCTCCAGCAGCAGTTAAATACCACTTCCACCTGATCACGTGCCTTCCACGTCATCCAGGCGCGTTCATCGCAAAATGTAGGGCTGGTCATAATGTTTTGGCTCTTGAGTGTATATATAAAGATCAGAAAAGGGGTGCGTTTGGAAGAAATATTTCATCGTAAATTTTCATTTGAAAGTAACACAGCGTACAGGTCAATCAGTTAGTGACTGATGGAAACAGATCCTATTTTTGAAGTGTTTGTAAATAATATTGTAATTTTTTTTAAAATTTTTACCAGGAAGGAGTGTTTCTCTCTTGAAGTCCTGCAAACACTAGGGACATCGGGAAAGGTCATCATGATCCTTCCCGGATGATGTACTGAAAAAGACCTACGTGGAGCTCGCGTTTAAAAGTATTTTTTTAAATCATTATAGAATGTAGATAATTACAATATTTTGCATTATTTGAAAAGCTAACTATAGTTTAGTTCATCCGTTCTTTGCTTAATTATTTGTATTGTAAATTATATTCGATAAAAATTTGCATAAACTGTTTGAGTTTTTAGTCTCGTTTTAATTCAGTGAAATTGCTCATAACATTTACTATAAATTTAATTTTATTTCAGAAATACTGTGGACTGTGGAAATGATTTTATCTTCATGATTTTAGGTAATAACAGAAAATGGATCTTATTAATAAATTATATTTGCATTTAACCTTTTCGCGACGGCGCACCTTTGTTTAAGACGCTCGTGCGGGACGGAAGAGAATCGAAGGCAACCACCGTACAGGACGGAGGTTTTGCATCGCTAAGCCTAATTTTATAACAAAAATCAGAAAAACAAAAGTTTCGCTTCTAGCATCGTAATTTTTGGTATCCTTTTAGATTATTACTTGAGCTCTTATATATGTTAAAATTAGCCCTTAAAACATTTTTTTTCTTTATTTTACATGAAAATATACTTAAAAAATTGCTTTTCTTCTAAAATAATAACATAACAGAATGATTGGCTGATAAAAATGGGCGAGATGCGGACAGGGATAACGACAAAATTAATGCCCTGAATTTAAGCAGCACGTTCTGCACAACGCATGTCATTTATTGTGCAGTCCGTCTCAGTAATTGCGTGGCGTGGGAAGGTATGCCTAGAATGAATTTAGTCGGGTTGCTGTGGTTGGAAGCATTTTAATACTAGACGTGATAGCCACGAAGACTACAGATTTCTTCCGATTTTTAACAATGAGAACTAAAACAAACAATTATATCAAAAGCGACACGTCAACAATTATACCGTTTGCGACCTGGTGAGCGAGCACGAGTGTCCCCACTCTTACTACCGTTGCAAATCACTAGACCTCGCAACAGGCTGCGCCAAAAGCTCACTTTTAAATTCTGCACGGCAGTAAATCATAAAGCGAACGCAATTAAGATGCCACTGTTACCTGTTAGTAAACTGTTTAAATTGCAAATCAAACATATATGCAATTGCAGCAAAAACAATAACACTACCGGTTTCGTTAAATTTTCCACTGTTGACTGTGCAATTCCAAGGGGAAGAACTCAAGTATTCTACCAAATACCGTTTTTCTATTTATTACACACGCAAAATGAACTAGCTTCCACTGTTTATGTTGCCGCGGCCGCATTAGTGCGCCGCTCCGCCCCCCTGACTGAGGTCGCAGATAAGTCAATACGTTTGTTTTGCTTGTGTCGTGCGGTGCTGTATTTCTGTGTCTGTAGTGAGCGTGAAGACTGAGAAAATACACTGGTTATCATAAATTAAGGAAAAATCACAAAAAGAGCGATAATTCCCTCAAAAATAAGCGAAACCGTGTAAAATTTGAATATGTTGCTAAGTAAGAGTAGCTGAGTAAAACTGCGATATGCAAATTAGTGGCACTGCTTTCAGAATAAGTCATCTGCGA